TTTTTTTTTTTTTTTAATTTTTTTTTTTCAACGTTTATTTATTTTTTGGGACAGAAAGAGACAGAGCATGAATGGGGGAGGGGCAGAGAGAGGGAGACACACAGAATCGGAAACAGGCTCCAGGCTCTGAGCCATCAGCCCAGAGCCTGACGCGGGGCTTGAACTCACGGACCGCGAGATCGTGACCTGGCTGAAGTCGGACGCTTAACCGACTGCGCCACCCAGGCGCCCCCCTTTCTTCCTTTTTTAAATATTAGTAGACATATTATTTATGAATTGCTGTCTGCCTCTAAAGTCAGATGAGACAAAGTCCTTACTTGGGTGAATATAACTTTACCTAACATGGGAACAGAATTTATTTTGAATGTGCTGTTTTTCTTAAAAATAATTTCTCATTAATGACAGGATAGACAGGTTTTTCACATTTGTGTTACTAACAGGGACAGTAGTTTTTGCTTTGCATGCTTTATTTTCTAGTTCATATGAGACTGATTTAATTGACGTTTGGTGTTGGTATTCTGGTGTGCTTGTTGTTCATCTAGAGAGGCCTTGTTGGCTGAGATGGGAGTTGCCATTCGAGAAGACGGAGGAACCCTGGGAGTTTTCTCACCGAAGAAGGTAGGACACAGTGTTGTGAAACTCCACCCAACAAAAGACAAACTTCCTGTTTGTCTGGGTCACTGAGGCACTTGCGGCCTTTTAGGGCTGGCCCCTCCTCCCTTCATTTCGTCTTGGGATTCGGCTTAATTTCAGAATTTCTAATTTCATCTTACAGTACAAAGGCAGCCTGGTTCTAAAATGCCTGTCATGTTTGCTGTTTAAAAAACAAAACGCAAGGCCGTAAATCTAACTTTCGGTCGCGATTCCATACGTTTACTCATGTGCATTGTTGCTTTCTTTTCAATTCCCAGCCTCTCATCTAGCATACCTTGCTTCAGTTTGGCTACTCTTTCTATGTAGATTTTCCCACAGATGCCCGCAGCCCTGATTTATAACTCTATGGAAGCAATTTCAGCCATTCAGGTTTGTTTAGAAAAATACCACTCAAGTTTGCTTCTTTAGTTTGTGTTACAGACGGTCATTGTACTGAGTAAAGCAATTCCTGTCCTCACCCTTGTAGCCTCCTCTGCTTTCTTCTTAGTTTAAAAAAATAAATAAATAAAACTCCAGTAGTTACCATCCTACGTATGTTATCATAGTTGTTAGGTAGTAGATACCTTGTAGCTAATTAGAATAGCGTGAGGTAGGTTTTGTTTTGGGTTTTGTTGTTGTTTTTTTTATTCTTTTACTGAGTTGCTTCCTAGTTATTGTTAGGTATTGGGAAACTATTATCAAATGATTATTTTTGTGTGCTTCTCATTTGACTGTAGTAATTAAACATAAATTGATTTATAAAGTAAATATATTCATGCCAGTAATAAGTGGTCCTTCATTTCAAATAACCCCAAATTGGCTATGAGAGATTCAAACATGTTCTGCAAGGCTCCGATGGTGATCTCTTTAGGTTGGCATTAGAGTGAGTGGGGACTTTTCCATTTTTGTTTTTAATATGATATGAAATATTCCTTGTTTTTGCTGGGATTCTTTTGGTTTGGTTTTTCTGTCAAGGTCACGTAATTTTTTAGAACTGGAACAATAATAACAGTATTTTGTCTGTCTGTATTGCCAGAGATCCCTGGTTTTCACAGTTTAGTAGTGTTTGCTTCGGTAAGACATTATTTATCAAGATATGACTTATGATTGTAGAGGTGTTATCAGTTCTACGTTTGATAGAATTTGTGCCTTTGTGTATCTTGAAAGATTTTACAACATCTTTCAGTGTAAAGAACTATATGGAAAAATTTGGTAACAACTTGTAAAAAAATGGCATTTAACACAAGTTATAAATAACTTGAATTAGCGTTGTGATATAAACAGCCCAGAATTCCAACTGAGATCTCTGTTTCCAAAGGTTTTTCTTGCTTTAATTTTATGCATCTTGTTTTAACTTTCTAGACTTCCTCAGGAGAGGAAGGGATACACCACTGGCCACATCCAGATGCGGTTTTAGAACCTGTTTCTGATATGTTAACTTGATTGTGGTAATCATTGCACAATGTGTATGTGTATTAAATTGACACATTGGACACCTTTAAAAAAACACGTTGTCTGACCTAAACATATACGATTTTGTCAGTCAGTCCTCAGTCAAAGGGGGGATGGGGTGGGAGAATACTTTTAAGGCAAGGGAAAATGAAACCTATTTCTAGGATGCCCTTTCTCTGAGGCCAGTGTCACGATAGACTTTAAAGAACAGTACCCACAGAGGACTTTGACTTTCTCAAACCAGCAGAGCTCTTAACTCCAGAGGCAGATGCTAATGTAGAGCTTTTCCTAATTTCTTTTTAATCATCTTTCTCATTTCCTGTTCTTAACTCACTCATCTGACTCTTCTTTCATTTTTCCACGTTTGCTGGCACTGTCTTGAGTAGATTTTGACCCCAAGACCATGTGACTTATTTTTGGATTCCAGTGGGGTATTTTCACCAAAGAAGGTTGGTTTTTCAAGGATTTTAGAAATATTAGAGTTAGATGAAGAGGACTTTTACAAGATGTGTATATTGTTGAATGCTGACAATTTTAATTTTTTCTTTAAAGTAGAGACTAATGAACTAAACAGAGTAATGGGGACCATGGAAGAAGTGATAAAAATTATAGAGGGAAGTGACAGGGGGTGTGGGGACATGTTTATAAAGTAAATGAAAAAATTAAGTATTTCTTGAGATTGTAGAAAGGGAAAATTGTTTTCCCTCCACCCTTCTGAATTCTTAGCTGAGAGCCCTGTAATAAGAGATTAATAAGAAAAAAACAAAAATAAGTTTATTAACATGTCTGCTTCATATGTGTGTGGGAGCTGCCCAGGGGGAAAGTGAGTGACTCCCCAAGAGGGCTTAGAGTTCAGACTTAAATGCCATGTTAGTAGGGAAAGGGGAGCAGGGACATAGGCCTCTCAGGAGGGAATGAATGATTTTTCAGGAAAGATGAAGGGGCCCTTGGGAGACTAGATGGGAAGTGTGATCGTTTGCGACAAAGTCTGTCTGGTGTCCATTTCTGGTCTCCTCTCTTGGGACAAGAGTCTATCCTCCCTGGTTGATGGACTCCCAGAGGGGCACAACAGCTGAGGTCCTTTAGGAGGACCTGTCTTGGGGTGGAGGCCGGAGGTGGGGGTGGGGGGGTGGGGAGGGGGTTTGTTCAAAGGAAGCCTCTCCCTGTGGTTGCTGTTTTTGAAGTGCCTTTAGCTCAAAATAATCAATATGTCAAAGTGGCCTGTTTTGTTCCCTTCAAGAATTTCATCCAGGTAGTTACAAAAATTGTGGTTAGCCCATCCAGAGAATCAACCTGTCTTTATTTTTCTTTTGTATTCTTTATGCTTTGACCTTCTCAAGAATTGGATCTTGTTCTTTATCCCAGAACTCATGGTTTTTGAATAGAATGTATTGGTGTAATTTGAGAAGGCTTAAAGAGAATGTTTTGTGTTTATAATGGAATTGCAACTAGGAATAAAAGATGTCCCTCACCTAGGGACTGTAGATAATCCAGGAAGCCATCAGCTTCCTGTAGGTCATTGTTCTTGTCACAGCCCATGCAGCGGTACTTGCTCCAGATTGATCATCTGTACCCTCTTTCAGACCCCACATCTGGTTAACCTCAATGAAGACCCACTCATGTCCGAGTGCCTGCTTTATTACATCAAAGATGGAATTACCAGGTATATTTGTTTCTTACAGTTACTTAATGTTTTCTGTTCTTTTCAATGATTGAATAACTAAAAGGAAGTTGTTTTTTGAAAAATTTGTTGTAATGATTTGCTTTTTCCTGTCTGAAATAGTTACAAACTCTCTTGTCTTCCCAAATTATATACGTACTTTAGTCATCTGAACCAGTTAACATGTAGTTTTCCCTAAACACCCTAAGTAAAATTTTCTTCTAACTTCTTGTATGAATTCATTAGGGAGGTTAGTTCACTCGTGTCTTTTTATAAAGCTGAGTGAGTTACGTTGATGTATCCTTGCTCCTTGGTTTCTTATTCTCACGTAGGGAGCTTGATCATATGTGAAAATAAAATTTGCAGTTGAAAGACTCCGATAAAAAGAAGCGATACCTTTTTTGTACATACCAAGGACTATTCTCTGGGAGAAAGAGGTTCATTGTTTCCAGTGCTTTTTGTGTCTGAATTTCCCTGGGAAACACTTTCCCTTGTGTTCAGGGTTGGCCAAGCAGATGCTGAGCGGCGCCAGGACATCGTGCTGAGTGGGGCTCACATTAAAGAAGAACATTGTATCTTCCGGAGCGAGAGAAACAACAGTGGGGACGGTGAGAGTTCCTGGCTTAGCTTTTCCAGCAGTCTTTTCATTCTAGGTTATTAGAAATCCCCAAGGCTTGGCATTCCCTGTCTCTTTCAGTGATATTTTCTCGTACGATCTAATATTTGGAAAATGGAGAAACCTGTGCTGCTTACAAATGCTGGGACGGACATAGCTATTTTACATGAAAATTGGCTGGACAAAAGGAGCCCTTTTGGGACTGCCAAGAACCGAGCAGGACAGAGGCAATTAGGCTTGGTCTTGAATGTTAATTAGTTAATAGACAAGTAAGAAAGGAACAAATATCCTGGGTAGTGGGAGATTTGAAGGACCTCTGATTTTAACCCAGTGGAACTTATTTTATCTAAAAGGGAAGAAAAAGTCAGTCTTGATTTTTGCCCAGGTTATTAACAAAACAATATTCTAATGGTATTTTTGTGCTATGTGATTCATTCCTTTAATCAGAATATTAGCTTTTGATCTTAAGTTTCTGGATAGTACCTGTATCTTAAGATTTCTGATAGTTTTCAGTTTTATGGACTGAACTCTCAGGTATTACCAAAACAAACATTTCCTGTCTTCTTCTGAGGCTTGTCCAATTCATTTAAATGTTTCTCTTAGCCGTATCCCTGGTTTGGGTCCCCCAGCGAGAGCTCCTGTGTAGATTCTCAGCCACTTGGTTGGTTGCAGGAATCGATTCTGGTTACCCTGGAAGTCATCGGCTTTCCATTGTCTTACTCCAGTGGTTTGTGATGCTAATACTAGTTTGTGTTCTTCTTAGTTATCGTGACCCTAGAGCCCTGTGAACGCTCAGAGACCTATGTAAATGGCAAGAGGGTGGCCCAGCCCGTTCAGCTGCGCTCAGGTGAGACCAGGAATGGTTTGAAGTCTTCAGTAAACAACATGTGGCTTGTGTGAGCAACTCTTTAATGTGTGACTCTTTGTTTGAAGAAGTGATAGCATTAGGATTTCTGTTCTTGTAAAACTCCAAACGCTGTCTTTTTGCACTAGGGAAAGGGAGGGAGAGTGAGGTTACTAACCTAGGTAAGCACCCTTTTAAAAAATGGCTTCTTAACCCTGTTTCTGTTTTTGTTCTAGGAAACCGTATCATCATGGGTAAAAATCATGTGTTTCGTTTCAACCACCCGGAGCAAGCACGGGCAGAGCGAGAGAAGACTCCTTCTGCGGAGACCCCCTCTGAGCCTGTGGACTGGACGTTTGCCCAGAGAGAACTTCTGGAAAAACAAGGGATTGATATGAAGCAGGAGATGGAGAAAAGGTGATGCACAAATATGACGTGGCCCACGTGACCATCACTTCTTTTAAACCTACAGTATGTAGCACGCATGAAACAGTCCAGTGATTTCACAATTTATTTTTTCCTCTCTTGTTTTTCTTCTCCTTGTAGGCTACAGGAGATGGAGATCCTGTACAAAAAGGAGAAAGAAGAAGCAGATCTTCTTTTGGAGCAGCAGAGACTGGTAGGAGGCCATCCTCAATCCTCTGTTAGGAAATGGGCGGCTTGCTCTGGTCCCTCCCATTCCACAGATGAGCACTCGCCCAAATGGCTTGTCCAGCTCTCACTGACACCATCTGCTATTCTCTCATTTCCTTAATGGAGAATGAACTTACATCTCCTCGTAGCCTTAGCCTGAGAAAGTGTCTATAAAGGTACGATGTTGTGCCTTTTATGTCTTAAAGTCAAATCGTTAGTTCTATCAAAACCAAGTGCTTTTTGAAGAACTATGGGAGCTTTTCTGGTAGCCTTTGCCTCCTGATAGTGGTTTTTGAGTATGCATCAGTGGTGGATCTTTTAATAATAATTATATTGAATATGGTGGGTGTTTGCCTTGGTTTTGTTTCTGATCACCTGATAGTACTAATTCTCTGCTCTTGGGCTGACTTGGGGATTGTTCTTATGCTGGGCAGACTTTTTTTTTTTCTTTTTTTCTTTTTCTTTTTTTAGTTAAACTGTGTCTAAAAGTGTTGCTGCACAGTTGCATGTGTTAATCCTTTTCTGTTCCCCTGCATGGAGTCTGAATTCTCAATAAGGGTCTCCGTGGCATGTGGGATGACAGTGGAAGCAGGGGCTCACAACCAACTCAAATAGTAGAAGGAAGCCTGGTTCCTCCAGGTTGAGAAAGGGTTCGGGTGAGCAGTCGAAAAGTTGGTTTAAGGTTGCAGCTTATACTGCTAATAATGGCTTTAGCATTTTATGATGTGAATTGATTCTCCAAGTTTGATAGAAACTGAATCGCATGGATAAATAAGTTGATCTAGTAGTTAGATTTTTGTTTTTAAGGTCATCCAGCTTTGGTTAACAAAGCCGTGGTCATAAGAAGCTTCTTGGCATTCATTTGATATGTAAGGAAAAGGTATAATAAACCTTTGGGTACAGTGGATACAGTGTAGAATTTTTAAGATTCATAGACTTCTTTTAAAATAAGGGGAGGTTAGGGAGAAAGCTGAGATACTGGTTTCTTCCCTCAGTGTAAAACACAGCATCTAAGATGCTGTGTGTAAACTGCAGCCTTATGGTGATGCTCTGCTTTGGAGAAGAGAGGCTGGTCGTTGTTGCTAACTGGGCCAGAAAAGCCAAGGGCTTGAGCTAAAGCAGCCTTTCCCAGGGCAACTCATTTCTTAGGCCTGGCAGTGGGTTAAATCAGTTAGTTTGTTATCTTGGAAACTATAGTGAAGTCCAAGAAAGAATGGATTGTAGGAATAAATCACATGTTTGGGGCAAGATAATAGCAGTGTTTGAGTCCCTTCACGAAGCCTAGTCAACATTTAGTTTTTAATGAAAACAGAAGGAATTTGGCTACCGTATGATTAGGGGTTTGAAAGGTTTGTGACACATGAGGAGCCTTTTATCTTCATAATGTATGATTTAGTAACATGCCTCTGATGGTCTGTTACAGATCACATGAGGACAGGTATCATTAAGCTGTGTGTGTTATTAACAGTAGTGCCTTGTATTTCTATAGTGCTTTGTAATTTACAGAGAGTTTTAACATCCATCAGGTTTTTTTTGTTTTGTTTTGGTTTTTTTTTTTGATTTCTGGAATAGCCCTCCCTGGTAGGCGTGTGTGTAAATAAAGTGAGTAATATTACTTCCCATTTATAGTTGAGTAAACCAAGGCTAAAAAAAGTCTGTCTTGCCCATTCTTAAACACCTGTTAAGTCACGGGTCTGACGCTTCACCTTGGGTCTTCTGAATTGCTTCCGTTTTCTGTTCTGTTTAGAAAGAGCAGTGCCTCTTCCCCAGCTGGGAGTCTTGTTGAAATGCAGATGCTGATTCAATAGGTCTGGGGTGGGACCTGAGGTCCTTCATTTCTAACAAGCTCCCAGGTGATGCCAGTGCTGCTGGGCCGGAGACCAGCCTTTGAGTAAAGCAGGTGAGAGAGATGATGATGGCTGGCGTTCTCCATAACCAAGAGCTGATAGTCCTTCTTTGCTCTGAAATAAAGATGCTGACCATTAAGTAAAGAGAAAGTAAATGTGTCTAAGACCTATTTCGTTTCCAGGGGACATACTTAGTCTGCAAGTAGGTCCTGGTTGTCATCTGTTCTGTGTATCTCAGAGCAGGTTAGGATCTCAAGAGCAGCTACTCAGAGCAGGGAGGCTGCTTTCCTCCCTTAAGTCCAGCTGTCTGTTCCACTCATGTTTCTTGTCCTCAAGAGGAACTGATTCCTAATGCCTTAGCTTAAAGAATATCTAGCAGTAACAATACTGAATGGAAAGTGTATTTTTATGACCCCATATTGGTCAACAAACAGATATATTTTGAATGCACCCTATGAATAAACATTGAGAGGATATAAAGGAATTCTTATGCAGTAAAATTGTATTTAATATTGTAATGTAATCATTTTGAATAATGACAGCCTTAAAAAATGGAGTTCAGGCTCATAAGTATCGTATTACGATAGTTCCCCAAATGCGTCACATTGTCACATTGCTGAACATTCTCTTATAGTTAGTGCTCTGTTACATACCTGGTCCTTTTTGTGCTTGCTTTTTTTACACATGTGCTTTAGGTATCTTCTCTCTTCAATTTGCATAGGCTTCTTGCAGAGTCTCTTACGGAGGCCTTTGCATTTGGGATTTAATGAAGGCAGAAGCAGCATTTAGTGACGTGAATTTGCCAGACCCGAGTAGTTTTTCCAACCCTGCAATAAGTCAATCTCAATATCTTTAAATCTTTTTTGACATGAGATAGGGTTTATACCTTGGCACATAAACTTTGCATACAGAATATTTAGTGTCATGGTCAGTACATGATAGGGGGGCTTTAAGAACATATCCTACAAAGTCAATACGACAGTATTTTAAGAAGAAGGAAAATTATGGCCACTTAGTTTAATTTGAGTTGTTTTGGATTTATGTAGACTTTCTTGTTTATATGTTTTATTTATGATTTTTTATAACATGAATATATTTTATTTCTATTAGAGTTAACAGACCTAATCGTTGTCTCTCAAGCATGATACGAAAGCAGATTAGAATATTTGTTATTTCATAGATAGGTAGTATTCATTTTATCCTTAAGCAATCTTAAAAGGAAAAGAGAAGAAGCCAGGGTGGGGGTGGAGTGATAGTTGTCAATTATGTGGGAACAATCAGAGTTGATGTTCTGTAAAATATAGTTTATACATATTGATAAGAAAACCTTTTTAAGAGTCAGACATACTTTATTCTCTAATGTTTGTTAATGTTCTCTTTTATCACTTAAGATTAGCCATTCTGAGGTTTACACTAAAAATGAAAAAAAATAGCATAGAGTCTATAAATTTAGCTCTTTTTTTTTTCTTTTTTAATGTTTTCAATGTTTATTCAATTTTGAGAGACAGAGAGAGCACATGGGGGGAGGTGCAGAGAGAGAGGGAGAGAGGGAGACACAGAATCCGAAGCAGGCTCTAGGCTCTGAGCTGTCAACACAGAGCCCGACATGGGCTCACGAACTGCGAGATCATGACCTGAGCCGAAGTCGGACGCTTAACCGACTGAGCCACCCGGGCGCCCCTGTGTTTTCTCTTGTTAAATTTTCAACCAGGTAGGATTTATAGATGGGTTTAGTACCCATTTATTGACCAACAGAAATAATAGATCAACAGCTCCAAATTCAGGGGCCAAATTGTTACCATTATTGTTAAAAGTTATTTTTTAGAAATAACTGTGCATATAAAGTAACTGCATAGAAGTCTTTGGCCTAGAAAGCAAGATACTATTTGCTAGAGATAATTGTGGTAATCACAGCCAAGTAAAAGAGAATGCTGAGATTCTTTTTTTTTAACTAGACCATCCTGAACTCTTCTAAGTGAAAAGTTTCTTTTCCAAGGAATAGAAAGAATTCCCGAATAGAAATTCTCCCATAATCCTATCCATCGTAGGGAATTCTAAATCCAACATTGCTTTCACTTGGATCCGTGTTATCAGGATGTGCTCTTGTTAGTTAAGAACAGTTGGTTAGTATCCAGATAGCCGTTGAAGACTAGTTAGTTGTTTTAGGCCCAAGTCCAAACAGCAGCCCGACTACCCAACTAAAGTTTTTGAAGAGGTAAAGTGCAAGCTAAGTATGAAAGAGTTAGAGACAGCATTTTAAAGTGGATCCATTTTTGCATGAGCAGAATATAATCTTTCTGTTTCATGTCTTGATAGGAAGAGTTGTCATTTAAAGTGATATTCCTCAAATAGCTAGAAATGCCATGGGTTTTCCTAAGGAGAAAACATCTTTAGGTTGTAGTAAAATATTACTTGGGGAATTTTAAATGATGTGTAATGAAAAGTATATTTGCCTAGCTTAATTTATGTTCTGGAAATTTATTTCTTAAAAATTTGGAGGTGAAGTGTTTGTTGGTTTAAGTGTGTGAAAACAAAAAAAGCAGACCCACCATAAGGATCCTTTTCTTCTGCTTCCTGTTCTCCGGGTAACGAGTGTCAGTTGCACAGACGTAGTGCATCAGTTTGGCATGACAAGAAAATAGCGACTCCAGGACGTACTTGTGGAAGGACTCCTATCAAAACCCTCTTGTCTTCTAGAAAAACAGTTTGGTTGATAAGAAGCTCACGTGGTCTGCCAGTAGGGATTCATTTTTAACATCATCCCTGTTTGCTTCTTTTTCTACCTTCTCATCTTCTAACTTTTTTCTAGGGCTGCTCTTTTTAGTAAAGCTAAACAAAACGTGGCATCCTACAGCCTTACTAACCTTTGTTAATCCGCCTGCTCGTCACATCTTGTATGGCATCTGTGCTCACTCGTGGGGGAGAGAGTTTCTGGAAGAAGCAACAGCAATAACCAAGGCAAATGTGGGGAAGTGGCTGCATGGGCGTTAGCATGTATGGGGCATAGGTTTTACTTCATTTTCCCAAGATGGTGGAGATGTCATTTCACGTCATTTTGTTAAATAAAAACTTCACATGACCTTAGAGGGAAAGGTCACTGTGTCAGTCCTCCTAAGAAATTGGATTGCAGATTTCATCA